ATAGATCTTTTTTTTTTTTTTTTTGAGACAGGGTTTCTTTGTGTAGCTTTGTGCCTTTCCTGGAACTCACTTTGTAGCCCAGGCTGGCCTCGAACTCACAGAGATCCACCTGGCTCTGCCTCCCGAGTGCTGGGATTAAAGGCGTGTGCCACCAGTATAGATCTTGACATAAGGTTAACACTCAAATATTAGGAGGGTTTGTTTTTTACACCCCAGAGGTGGAAGAATCTTGGCATGCTTCACAGAAGAGGTGTTACTGGAGTAATCCCTTGATTGGTGGGAGGATTTGGCCACATAGGATTGGGGGAAGCAGAAGACTGAAAAGGAGCAAAGGTCAGGACTCATCATGCCTTGGGCAGCACAGAGTGGCCTCCTGGAGCTCATGGAAGAGAGCAGTAAGGGTTTAAAGTTGACCAGAGTTGGGGCGTTTTCTATGGACAGCCTATGAGACGCTGAGTAGATAGGACTCCTTCAGCCTCCATTGTGTACAGGTGGATGTGTACATGCGCATTCGTGTGCAGGTGTATGTGTATGTGGGAGCCAGATTATGTGTGTGGTATATGTGTGCATGTGTATTTGTGCACAGGTGTATGTGTGCATGTACATTCATGTGCCCGTGTATGTGTGTGTGGGAGCCAGAGGAGGACTTGGGGTGTCTTCCTTTATCGCTCTCTTATTGCCTTGTGGTGGAGTCTCCCACAGAACCAGAACCTCTGTTCTATCTACACTGGCTGGCATGTGAGCTTGGGATCTGTCTCGTCACCTCCTCTCCCAATGCTGGGCTAACAGGCATGCAACTAATAATTTTAAAAATTATTATTTTACATGAATAGTGTTTTGCCTGTGTGTATATCTGTTCACGACATTCATGCATCACCCTCAGAGGCCAGAAGAAGATGTCAGACCCCCTGGAACTGTTACAGAAGGTTATGGGCTGCCGTGTGGGCATTGGGAATCAAACCTGGGTCCTCTGGAGGAGGGACCAGTGCTCTTACCCACTGAGACATCTCTTCAGCCTCTGGACTCTCTGTGTGTGTGTGTGTGTGTGTGTGTGTGTGTGTGTGTGTGTGTGTGTGTGTAGCAGGGTGCATGTACATGTGGAGACCAGAGGTCAATTTCTGATGTCTTTCTTAGTTACTCTCCACCTTATTATTATTATTATTATTTTTTTGAGTTAGCAATTTAAATTTTAAACTAAGTTTTACCAATCTTTCATAGTCTCAACAGAGCTGAATGAACACATTTTTTTTTTTCAAGACAGGGTTTCTCTGTACAACAGTCCTGGCTGTCCTGGAACTCACTCTGTAGACCAGACTGGCCTTGAACTCCCTGAGATCTGCCTGCCTCTGCCTCCCAAGTGCTGGGATTTAAAGGCGTGCACCACCACTACCACCCAGCTAAATGGACATTCTTTAACTGTCAGGTTTTCTACGTTTTGGTGTGTACCCCCCCCACACACATGCACACACAGACACACACACACAGACACACACACACACACACACACACACACACACACACACACACGCACATCCTTTGTACAGAGGCTGGAAAGATGGTCCAGTGGTTAAGAGCACTTGCTGCTCTTCCGGAGGACTCAGCACCCACACCCGGCAGCTCACAACCTCCTGTAACTCCAGCTGCAGGGGATCTGATGCCCTCTTCTGGCCTCCACAGGCATTCACACATGTGACATACCCTCACACAGATACACACATACAGATTGAAAAAATCTGAACCTTGTGCTCAGGCATACCAACATGCCTGATTCTGTGCACGGGCGCTGTGGACCTGGCAGAGCAAGGGCTGTGTGAACCGAGTCATCATCTCTCCAGGTTTTTTATTTATTTATTTATTTATTTATTTATTTTTGGTTTTTCAAGATGGGGTTTCTCCGTGTAATTTTGGAGCCTGTCTTGGATCTCTCTCTGTAGACCATGCTGACCTCAAACTCACAGAGATTCCCCCTGCCTCTGCCTCCCGAGTGCTGGGGTTAAAGGCGTACACCACCCTCATCCCTGCAGCTTTAAAAAAAAATTATCATTCTTGAGATAGGACCTCACTATGGTGAGCTCTAACTTGTGATTCTCCTGCCTCGGCCTCCTGAGCACTAGTATGATGGACTCACTCTGCCACACCATGCTCTCTCTACCTCCATTCTGATCCTCACTAACAGCCAGAGTGGCCTTTCAGAAGTGGGTTTCCAACCATTCCACCCCCTGCCCTTCCTTTATCAGCTCCAGCTGTTTATTGAACCAAGACACATTTTGGGGGGGGGAATGGGGGAGGCTTCTGAAAGTTACTGGAAGACACCAGTAGCTAACAAAGACACCCTTCCCATCCTATAGCCTCTTAACCCCACTCTGTCAACTCTAGGCACACTGGCCTTTATCTGACACCTCCTACTTTCCTCAGGAGTGACTATTGAGCATGTGCACATCTGCCCTACAGGCCATTTGCACACGGCACTCCTACCCATCCTTCACGTCAACATTGCAGCCCTTCCTCCCAGAAGTCCTTGCTTATCCTCTTTTATAAGCTCTCATAAGTCATGTGTGTCTCCTCTTTAACACCCTCTGTGCTTGCAAGTTCACGTGTGTGTGTGTGTGTGTGTGTGTGTGTGTGTGTGTGTGTGTGTGTGTGATGGAAAAGAAGGCCACCAGGTTGTAAGACTCCAAGCACAGAAACTGATGCTGTCTTACACTGTAGCACCCTGAGGTCCTGACAGGATGCTTGGTATAAGTATCAGCAGAATGAAATGGTAGTGTTGGGAACGAAACGGAAGATAACAGAGATCCTATCCAGAAGGATCTTTAGGAAGCTATTGCCACAGCCCAATAGGGAACTAGGTACAAGGATGTTAGAGAGCCGCCTAGCAACGGAATTGACTAGGAGAGGAAACACGTTAGCATGTTGGGCTCTGAGAATGTGGCTCAGTGGTAGGGCCGTTGCTTAGCACGCACAAGACCCTAGGTTCAATCCCCAGTGCTTAAAATGAACAAAGAGACAAGAAACCAGTTGTGACTTAGGTGGTGGATGCAGCCAGTAAGTGGGGTGCAGGCAAGTGAGAGGCGTCCCAGAGAGCAAGGGGCAGCTGGATGCCACTATGTCCTGGCAGTCGCTCGGGTGGGGTGCAGTTAGGGATGGGTTAGAATCTGAGAAGAGAGGTCAGGGCACTGACACAGGGGTGGGGATACATTCGTGAGGAGGGAAGAGAGGTTATGTCTCAGGTCTCTGGCCCATAGTTTTTTGTTGGTTTTTGTTTTCGTTTTTTTTTTCTTTTTTTTTTTTTTTTTTTTACGTCAGGGAAGTGGGGCAGCACCTGCCACCCTGCTTTGGTGATTCTGAGGCAGGGTGAGATCTCTAGGTGCCATCCTGAGCAAGCTGCCTGGTACAAGTCAGGGCTCAGTTAGTCACACCACCACCACCACCACCACCACCACCACCACCACCACCACCACCAACACCACCACCACCACCACCACCACCCCACCATCAAGGTACTTGACTACATGTCTCTGCTGCTCAGGTCCTGAGCCTCTTTGAATCAGAAGATAAAATATCTGTGTAGGCCTGGTCATGCAGGCCTGGAACTCCAACTACTTGGCAGACTGAGGCAGGAGGATTGAGGGTTCAACAATTGCCTGGGCTACAGAATGAATTTAAGATCAGACCAGAAGCCGGGCGGTGGTGGTGCACGCCTTTAATCCCAGCACTCGGGAGGCAGAGCCAGGCAGATCTCTGTGAGTTTGAGGCCAGCCTGGGCTACAGAGTGAGTTCCAGGAAAGGCACCAAAGCTACACAGAGAAACCCTGTCTCGAAAAACACCTAAATAAATAAATAAATAAATAAATAAGATCAACCAGATAATTTAGCAAGACCTGCACAAAGGTGTATAGAGATACAGTTCAGCGGTAAAGTATTTGCCAAGCACAGGCAAAGCCTTGGGTTTTATCCTTAACACTGCAGAACTCCAAAACGAATTCATCTCATGCCGGGACTTGCTGGATCAATAGAAAGAAAAATACATAAGGGACTGAGAGTCAGAGGCCACAAGTCCAGTCTCAGCTCTGATGGCCTGGGACCTGGGCCAGTGTCCTGTCTGGCTGAACACTGTGTTTTCAAGTATCAAGTACTGAGAAGAAGCCTCCAGTGTGTCTGTGGCCCTGAAAGCAGTCACACCCCACTTAACCCTCAGAGCCTGGGCAGCCTAGAGTTTTGGGCAAGTGCATGGAGCCCAAGAGGGACAGAGAGACTCTAGGGTAAAGACTTTGAAGACATGGAGCCAGCAGATAGTCTTAGGCCATAACAGAAGAGGCCTGGGGTCCCTGTGTGGATGTTTGGATACACCCCCTACCAAGGCAGCCAGGGCTAACCCAGGGGCCTCCCTGTCCTTACCGTCTCCACTCCTTCCACATCCACCTGATTTCACCCGATTCACTGGCCCCAGAGAACTGAAGCTCAACACCAAGAGAGCCACCAGGGTTACCACAGCCTGGCTTCCCTTGTGGGATCACAAAGGTGGGCTGTGTTGAACAAGGTCCCGGCCATGGAAGGAACTAGGAGAGAGGCCAGTGCCTTTGGTTTTGTGGCAAGGAGGAGGTCTTGGGAGAAGGAGACCAGGCATGCTGTGAGTAGAGAAAACCACAGGACTGTCTTCCCGTCCCCACGTGGCTGTGGACTTGCACTTGGAAGGGATCTGCAGGGTTTCTGGATCTTCCTTGATCTCCACTATATCACCTGCCCCTGCCACTCTGTCCCTGCCCTGCCACTCCCCTGAGAAGAAGCACCTGATATTGTTTGGTTCCTTTGCCCAGCAGTCCCCTGGGAGAGGGGTCTGCCCAAGAAGCCCGGGTCATGTGTCCTGGAGGAGCCTGCTGGACTGCGGGTGGTCGGGAGGGTGAGGCGCATCTGGAAGTTCACAAGACCACCGTGTGGCTTCTGTGCCACATGGCTGGGGGGGGGGCAAGCTTCCTGAGGTTTCTCTGCTCTCTCTGCAGTCTCGAAGCAGCGTGCAGCAGGGGGACATGGACGGGGCACGGAGGCTGGGCCGCCTGGCACGACTGCTCAGCATCACCTTCATCATCCTGGGCATCGTCATCATCATCGTGGCTGTCACCGTCAACTTCACAGGTGAGGCACAGGGGCACGGAGCAGAGAGAGAGAGAGAGCGCCCTGGGGACAGGGCAGTGGTGAGGGTGTGGCCATACCCTTTCACTTCAGTCAAGACTGTTTAGGTGAAGATGGGTTTTCTTACTCATCTTAGGCCTGGACTTACGGATCAATAGAAAAGCGTCTAGAATGGGCACTGCCCTAGGAATCAGAGGCCACAAATTCCAGTCTCAACTTTGATGGCCTGGGACCTGGGCCAGTGTCCCATTTGGCCGAACCTTGCATTTTCAAGTATAAAGTGCAGAGAGGAAGCTTCCATCATGGAGGGCTTTTGCAAGCCTTACTCTGGATAACGGATGCCATGGCTTTGGAGGCTGATGACTAGGCCTCCTTGCTGTGCGGTCAGGGTAGACCGGAAGCAAGCAGCGTGTTCGCAGGAAGGCAGGAAGCAGTGCTGTTAGTACCTGAAGGTGGCCCAGGGCACTGGTCTGAGGTGTAAACCTTTTTCAAAGGACACTGTCAGCCCTAGCTTTGAGGGTGTGGAGGCTATTTATCTCAGAGCTGTCCCAAGCACGGGATACTCTGGGACATTTCTGTTTATTTCAGAGATCAATCTAAGCCTTTCCCATAAAGACTTTGCTGTTCAAAATGTGCTCCGTGGTCCTGCTGCCCCTGGGGCTGTTTCAGACTCTCAGACCCCGCTGAATGGAAATCTGCACCTTGGACTCGTTCTGCCTTCCTTTGGCGGCATTGAGGATGGAACTGAGGGCCTCATTCATGCTAAGGAAGCGACCTCCCATAGAACTAGCCACCAGCCCAGAATGTGCATTCTAATAAGATGTCCAGTTCAGGTACCAGTGCAGGAGGTGCTGGCCTAGAGTGGGAAGTGCTCAGAGCCTGGGACCCAGTGCAGGATCCTGGGCAGCCTTGTCTACTCAGGAAAAGCAAGTGTGCAGGGTTTTGGTCAGCTTGACTAGGCTCAGAGTTCAGATCCTCCATCCACTTCCTGGGTAAATTAAGTTCTGTGTTTTATAAGCTCTGAGCCTGGACTTTCTCCATCAGCGTGGAGTTTGATGGGCATCCAGGCATGTGAGTGGCAGGGACCAGCAGCTGGAGGCATTGGGTTTCCTATCACTTACAGTGTCCCAGGCTACTTGTTCTGCTGCTTGTCATTGTTGCTGGGGCAATTTTGGAACTCAGTTTGGCAAAAAGAAGTTTGTAGCTTTCATAAAAGGTATTTCCAGATGGGCGGCTCTAGTCTGGTGCAAAGCTGTAACTAGACACTTGGAGGGAAGTGACAGGACTGTGTCTCATGGTCTTGTCCAGCTTTCGGTGTGTTGACTTAATTTCCAGGTAGGGTCTCTCCTTAGGAGGGCAGGTGACAATCACCAGGGATAACAGCGTTCTAATAGAGGCAGACATGCAAACCAGTCCAGTAATTAAGCGGTAATTTTGAAAAGGTGATGTACGGGGCACTGTGGCTTGTGTTTGTGATCCTAGCACTTGGGAGGTGGCTGCTGGAGGATCAGAAGTTTAAGGCCAGTGAGTTTAGGGACAACCCTAGGTCACATGAGACTCTGCCTAAAAGAAAATCAATCATCTTTAGATTGGGTGTGGTAGCTTGTGTTTTTAATTTCAGTACTCAGGAGGCAGAGGCAGGTGGCCTGATCTACATGGCAAGCTCTAGGCTAGCCAAGGCTACTTAGTGAGACCCTATCTTGAAAATAAATAAACAAATTGCTTCTAACAACAGACTAAAGGTCCCAGGATTGATTTTGGTTGGTTCAGTTGGTGTTACATGACCTTTCTCTAACCAATCACCAAAGCCACAGTCTTCTCCTTGGTGGGAGTTCCTGCACCAAGAACCCCAAACCAAAGACGTCCGTGGCCCTGTACCTCATCCTGGTCACCATTTCCCACCAAGAGACAATTTAACACGGGTTCATGGCTCCTTAAATCAGGGCTCTGAAGACTCAGTGTCCTCAGCACAGTTTCACTATAACCTTTCTTTTCTTTACAGTTCCGAAGTAACCGCAGAGCTGCTTCTAGCGGAGGCAGATGCCAGCCAGCTGGAGAGCTTCGAACCCACACATCCCCACACATTACAGAGGACAGGATGGTGGCTGCCAAGTCCCCACCTGTTCCCAAGTTCCAAAAGCACAAACTTGGAGGGAAACCTCTACAGCACTCCATTGTCAGCCCATGGCAGATGGGAAGGAAAATCTGGAATGAAGTTGGCCGTGAACCCAATGAATAATCTCATAGACACATCACTCGCCTTTTGACCTCAGTTCTCAGGCTTGTTTCTTATCCCCACAATTCCTGGGACTTACACACAGCATAAACTGCCAGAATGGGAAGAAAACCAGCCCCACAGCCAAGAAAGAAGCACCACACACCCTGGGTGTCTGTGAACATGAGCACAGTCTGGGCCGCTGTCTTTTCTACTTTTCTTGATAGGGAGCAAACAGACGCCTTGCATGCTTTGCGTGGAGCATCCACGGTGATCCTAGCCTGGGTCCAAAGGAGAAGGTGTCACTCAGCATGGGCCCTGAATACCCACCGGCAAAGAGACAAGAGCCATGTGGAAATCTTCCACTGAAGATTGGGTAGGGATAGCAGGACACACCGGGCCCTCTTACTGAACTTCAACCTCGAGACTTCTCTACCAAGGACTCTGCTTCCAGAGCACCTTCCAGAACCATGGAAGGGTCTGCCTCTTGCTCCCCACCTGTGCTGTAGCCAGAGGCACCAACCTGGAAGTCCTAGAACTTGACCTGACCCAGGTCAGCCATGGGGGAGGGACAGAGCCTGAGCTCTCGCCTGTCACTGACTCTTTGGGGGTCTGGGATCCCATCTTGGTAACCCGTGCGAGTGACTCAGGGGCCCTCTATAGGGCATTCAGGGACCCTGCACAGAAGAGCTGAGTTGGACCCTGGCTTCAGGCTCTTAGCCCAGCTTTAATGGATGCTCTGTGCCTGGCCCCATGTCCCTGGCCATCCACAGCAACCAAGGCTCTTCCCTAGGGGTAACTTTGAGACTCCTACTGGACTCTGTGATTCATAGGCTCTCGGGAGTCTTTGCTGCATTTTGTAAGGGGGGGGCTAGAGAATTCTTAAGAAGGCTTGCTATTTCTTAATCTGGAGCCCCCGGAGTCTAGAAGGAAAGGCCCAGCAGAAGGGTCAGTCTAGAGAGTGGGAACTGGGCAGGGAGTAAGGGCCCAGTAGCTACAGCCTCTGTCTGAGGACCTAGCAGAACACGGGAAAGGAGCCGAACAGAAGCCTTTGCCAACTAGCCACCTGCTTTTTGCCTCTGCTTCTCCAGTTTCCTGCCTGGCACAGACTGTGCCCACAGGGGCTTCACCTGCTGGTCTTGCTTGCTCTGAGCCACCACTACCCAATGTCACACCCTACCACCACCACCTTCAGCTCAGATCTGGGAGAGGAGGAAGGATCCAGGCTTTCCTTGCCCAGCGGCTAGGGCTAACGGCTTCAGTGGGGGGAATGGGTGTAAAACCACAGCCACACTGGGTGGGGATTGGAAGTTCATCTCCTCTGAGCAAAATTAGGACCCGACACCTCCTCCCCAGGGCTCCCTGCCTGGCTCCCTACAATCTCAGAGACCCTGGGCAGGGCAGGTTAGTACAGAGCACTGGCCACTAAGAGAGGAGGCTCTGGGGCTCCCAGACAAGGTCAGAGCACCTGCTGGGAGGGCCGAGGGGTTGGCAGTGTCTCTCTGGGGTTGATGCCCCTAAACCAGGCTCCCATTGGGGGAATCAACTTGGACTTATGTTCCCAAAGCAGGACTGGCTGTGTACCCTTGACAGGATCTTTGAGGCCAAACTAGAGATGTTCCCATTCGCTGCGGGAAGTAAGTGTGTGAGCCCAGAACATGTGTGTGAGGTGAGAGGTCGGGTCATGGGAGATGGACTGTGTGTGGAAACAGCCTGCCACAGGCTCCTGATCTTGAGTGGACGGTTTCCTAAAGCACCCCCCAACACACACACACACACACACACACACACACACACACACACACACACACACACACACACACACTGGGGGTCCAGCTTCAGGACCCTCAAGAAGAGGGAATTGTTATGAGGGATTATCATGACGGGGAGAAGAGGCAGAGGTGCCTTTATCTTCAGCCACTGCGTCCCTGGAGTCCAGCCCACACCCAGCCATTCCTCCCCAACCCCTGGTCACCAGTGTACAGTAGGTCTGCCATTCACACCCTCACACACGCACACACTTATTCACACTTCAGTCCGGAACAACTGGAGTCTCTGCATCAGGGAATGGCTTAGCTGAGAGCCTTCCCATGGTTCCAGAGACACAGCCTAGGGGTTCCCGGGGTATCCCTTGGGTAGAGGGGAGTACAAGGGTAGGAGGAAAGAGCCATTGGGATGGGAGAAGACTGAGGAAGAGTTCTCAATGGCACCCAGTCCCCGCGAAGCTGGGAGGGACAAGGGCCCTGCTGTCCTAACATTGTCTTGGTTTGGGGCCAGCTGCATGCACACAGTGGCTGTGAGGGAACTGACCTTGCCTCTCTTTGGGCATCCTGGTGAACAGCAAGAACTAACCCCCACCACCACCACCACACACACTAGTGACTCTGTATTTCTTGGCATGGAAAGAAATAAAGCTGAACATATGTGTTCCCTGTGTGTGTACTGCTGAGGTTGGGGCTTCCAAACAGCCAAGCGGGAGCAGTCCACTCAGGCTGTCAATCCCTGGATTTGATTTGGGCCAGGGGATCCTGTGGTCATTGGGGCTCCATAGACAATTCATGGTTTTCCTATGGGTGAGTCACCATTCTCTACAGGCCTCGGTTTACATTCTATAAAGCAGGTGGGCAATGGCTACTCCCACCTTCTCTGTCTGGTGTGTGCATGCAGGTGTGTGTGCATGCAGGTGCGTGTGCATGCAGGTGTGTGGATGTAGGTGTGTGTGCATGCAGGTGTGTGTGCATGCAGGTGTGTGGATGCAGGTGTGTGTGCATGCAGCTGTGTGTGCATGCAGGTGTGTGTGCATGCTTGTGGAGGCCGGAGGTCAGCCTCAAGTGTTGTTCCTCGGGAGCCATCTAGCTTGTGTCTTGAGACAGAGTCTCCCACTGGGACCGGGGCTTGTTCATTAGGCTAGGCTAGCTGGCCAGCCAGCCTCAGGGATCCATCTGTTTCTACCTCTCAGCAGTGAGACTGCATGTGTTACCACATCTGGATTGTTTGTTTTATTTTCTTTTGAGACAGGGTTTCTCTGGGTAGTCCTGGCTATCCTGGAACTCGCTCTGTAGACCAGGCTGGCCTTGAACTCTCAGAGATTCGCCTGCCTCTGCCTCCCGAGTGCTGGGATTAAAGGGGTGAGCCACCACCGCCCGGCTTCACATCTGGATTTTTACACTGAGTGTTAGGAATAGAACTCCGGTCCTTGTGCTTGCAGGGCAGACACTTTACCAACTGAGCCGCCTCCCAAGACCCCTTCCGTCCTTTCTGCTCTTGGCCCAAGATCCTGAGCTGGAGAAAAGAAGGCAGGGGACCAGCTCTTGTCCCAGGCAAATCCACATAAGAGCCCTTTGTGATAGCTAGCATCACTATCCCTGTACTCACATGGGTAAACTGAGGCCCAGAAAGATTCTGGGTCTTATCTAAAGTCACACCATGCTTGACACACAGAAAACAGTAAAGACATTTTGGTGACAGGATTCCACCCTCAGCTTTTGCCACACACTTTGCTGGCCTGGAAGGAAAAGCCCAATGGAAGGAAGGCAGACATGGATGGTTTGGGGCCGGGGGGGGGGGGGGGAGGAAAGGAAGCGGCTCTCTAGCTGCTGGGCGCCACAAGCAGGGGCTGTTTTCCCGGGGTGGGGTGCTGAGAGAGCATTGGCAGGGTCACCAGGCTGGGCAGCCAATGGGCATGGAAGGAAATGCTGAGAAGCCCAGACATGGGAGGGGAGCAGGGGAGGAAGGGTCTTAGGACTCAAGAGACAGCAGAACAAAGTGGGTCAGGTTATGGCGCTGGGTTCAAATCTCAGTTGGCTATTTACTAGTTGAGGCCCCCTGGGGAAGCTCCTAACCCCTCTGAGCCTTATCAGATCTGAAGTGTGAGCATCCAGTGAAATAATCCATGTCAAGATGAGAACATCACCTCCACAACCACCTCAGGCCTACCTATCACCCAAGAACTGAAGCTGGAGTGCACATGGCCCATGAGGCTGGCTGGAGGCTTAGTCCTTCTCTCCCCGTGCCTTAGGAGGATTGCCCACGCCCGTGCTTGGAGGCCCTGCTTCCTTCTGCTGCAGAAAAAAATCAGTGCCTAGTCTACCTGCGCTATACACATGTGTGGGGGGTTCATGAACAACCATCCCGAAGGTAGATCTGGTAGCACAAACCTGTAATGCCAGCTACCTGGGAAGCTGAGGCAGGTGGATTGAAAGTTCAAGACTAACTTGATTGTTGAATAATCTCAAACCCATCATTCTAGGCAATTTAGGGAAGTCCCATCTCAATATAAAAAGCCTCGGGACACAGCTCAGTGGTAGAGCACTTACTTAGCACATGTGATGCCTTGGGCTCAATCCCCAGCAACACACACACAGGTATACACACACACACACACACACACACACACACACACACACATGCACACCTCCCCCTGCCTTTATAGTATCCTAGTCACACCCCTTTCCTTGGGACCTGCTTCCTGTGGGGTCGATGGGGTACTACATGGTTAGCAGCTAGCTCCCCTTCCACCTGGTCTCACGTTCAGTCCTCATCTGTGTAACAAGCACCCTCCCTCCTACATGGGACGTGAATGTGTGAAGTGAGGCAGTGGGTGAGGAAGACACACAGCGCATACTCATGGGGACCTGTGTGGGGTTTCCAGAGCAGGAGGAAGTCCCAGAGTCTGCCTGGAAGGGGAAGGGGGGGGGGGACTCGGGGAGGAGGGCTTTCCTGAGGGGCCCCTCCCTCTCTCCCTCTCATCACAAACTTGTACTAAAGACCTCCTGTGTATCAGGCCCGGCACTGGACCCCCAGAGACACAAAGATGAAAAAGACAGGCTTCCTGGATCACGTGATCTTTGATCTCCAGGAAAGCTCTAGGTAGGAAGGGGTGGTTTTGTTGTGGCTGGGGAGCTGCCTGGATCGGTGATGGCAGCAGTTTAGTGGCCTGTCCCAGGAGGTCAGATGAAGCCATCAGGAGAGTGGCCCCCTCAGGAGCTTATCCTGGTATCTGGGGGACAGGCAGCCCTCTCACTGTCTTGTCGAGTGGTAAACTTCACAGTGAGAGTCGTTCTTCTTGAGACTGGCCATTTGTGTAGATGCCCTGGGTCCCTGGGGTCAGGCTCTAGATGTCTGCATAAGACACCCCCACTCGGGTTCCAGAGGGCCCCGGCCTGATTGTTACAGTATGGGCCCTTGCTTCATGCTTGCCTTTGTCTCTGTAACCCTAATAACGGTGCCCCCCCGTAGGGGCCTGTTCACCATAGTGTTGCTGGTGACATCACCCTGGTGGCATTTCTCCTTACTGTAGACCCTCAGTCAAGTAGGGCTGAGGCTAGCACTTCCTTATACTGGGTGCCAGCATCATCTTAACCCTCCTAAGACCTCTGAGAGAGCTCATTCATCGTCCTGAGATGAATCAGGACTCAGAGAGGCACAGAGTTAGACAGGGAGAAACAATGGAGAAGCAGAATGGTCTTTGGAAAAGTAGGGTGGGGGCTGGAGAGAAGGCTCTGGGCTTAAGAGCACTGGCTGGACCTGGGTTTGATATCCACTGCCCATGGCAGCTCACAACGGTACATAATTCCAGTTCCAGGGGATCCAACACCCTCTTCTGACTTTCATGGGCACCAAGCCTGCACATGTTTTCCATACAGTTAGGGTCCACAAGACGTCCCACAAAAGACCACTGGACACATATGCAATCAGCAGGTGTTTATTATCTCAAGAGTAAGAGTTCCGGCATGCTGAGACCGCACATTGGACACAAAGGCAAAATGGTGACCCTGAGAGAAACTCCCAGGCTCCTTTTATACACAGCTAAAGGAGTTCTAGAAGCAGTTACGTCATCCTGTCTATGATTGGCTTACGTAAGTGGCATCTATGTTAGTACATTTCTAATTGGCTAGGGCTAGCAGGGGCTGGCCAGGGGCTGGCCAGGGCTAGCAGGGGCTGGCCAGGGCTAGCAGGGGCTGGCCAGGGCTAGCAGGGGCTGGCCAGGGCTAGCAGGGGCTGGCTAGGGCTACAGCTTTACCATCGTTGGGTAAGTTTGGTCAAGTTCCAAGGCGGGATAGAAGATTTGTCTCTGGTCATTGCCTTGAGACGCCGTAAGGGATGGCCCAGGCTTGGTACATGCCATCTCCCTCATCCCTGCTGTCAGGGGTGTTCAAGATTGATTGTCCACGGTTCATGGTTCTCACAGGAACTGCTTGCTCAGTCTCAGGAAACTGAAACTGAGGCCTGATCTCTGACAGAAGACTGAGTGAGCAGCCTGTTATGGCATCTGCTTGCCTCTCTCATATACATGCATGGAAAACACTCATATACATAAAATAAAATTTAAAAAAGTTTTCTCCTAAGACAGGGTTTCTCTGTATAGCCCTGATTGTCTTGGAACTCATTTTATAGACCAGGCTGGCCTTGAACTCACAGAGATCTACTTGACTCTGCCTCCCAAGCCACCACTTCAGGCTGCTGCTGCTACTTTTTTTCTTCGTCTTTTTCTTTCTTCTTCTTCTTCTTCTTCTTCTTCTTCTTCTTCTTCTTCTTCTTCTTCTTCTTCTTCTTCTTCTTCTTCTTCTTCTTCTTTTCTTCTTCTTCTTCATCTTCTTCTTTATCTTCTCCTCCTCCTTCTCTTGATTCTTCTTCTCTTTCTCTTTCTTTCCTTCCTTCCTTCCTTTCTTTCTTTTTAAAGGAAATAAAAGCAGTATGGGTTACAGGGGCCCCTCTAGGCCTTAAAAAGCCCCCATAAAGATCAACAGCCCGGCAGTGGTGGCACACACCTTTAATCTCAGCCCTTGGGAGGCAGAGGCAGAAGCAGAGGCTGAGGCAGATGAATCTCTGTGAATTCGAGGCCAGCTTGGTCAGCAGAGCAAGTTCCAGGACAGTCAGAGCTACACAGAGAAACTCTGCCCTGAAAAAAACAAAAAAACAAAAACAAAAAAAAAAAGGAAAGATGGACAACTTCTAAGATGGCAGGCTTCTTCCTCACCCTCCTGCACTGTGACTAAAGCAGCTTGAAACAAAGGCCTTGGGGGCGTTTCCTCCCAGGAATACAGGCCCCTTCTGATGGACCAATAAGTTCAAAGCCTCGTCAGGACACATTTACACAACAGCTGTGGCTCAATCAGCCACCACCTAGACGTTCTTCAAACTGATCAGCCCTCAATTAGGGGAGGAAGATCCTTCAAAGACATAAAAAAACCAAACCACACCGAAACACCAGCCTTGGGGGAGAGGCCGGGCTTCCTCCATGCCCCCTCTGCTTTGGGCAGGGTCTTTCTCTCTGTGTATGGGTGCATTTCCTTTCTCCTAATAAGAGACAGGTGCTGGCTGGGGAGCTGGGGAGCTGGGGAGCCTGGGAACCTGCCCTCTCTTCCCGGAGAATTGGACATTTTAATGTAC